TGAAGTCTTCTAACAATACAAGAACTTTAGCGTGCTTTTTCCTTCCTGCTCTGACCTCCCCTTGCCATATGTCATGTTGGGCTCATCTGGGATTTTCTCTCCAGCTGTTATATGATTTTCTTTCAACCATTCCAACTGGTTTCTTTGCTGGCATCCATGTCTTACTCTTGGATACGCTTTTTGTTTTGCTAGAATCTATCTTCCAGCATTTTTTTTTTTTTAATAGACTTTGTGTATGGTGAACTTGGATGTTTAGACTGTGAAGACACCTTTATTTTGCGGTTTCACAAATGAATTTCACTACTAGGAGTTCTAGGTTCAATTCTCTTACAATTTTGACAATTGTGCTCCCTTGCCAGTTGACAATCAGATTCAGTCTGATTAAAGAAGATCCTTCTTCCCTGCAGGTTTTTGAGCTACTCTCTTTACCCTTTGAATTCCAGAATGTCACTCTGACATGCCTCTGTGGGTGTTTTTTCTCCACGTGTCCTGGGCATTACTTGTCATTTGAGAAGTTTCCTGTGACCATTCTCCGTGTCCTGTTCTGTGAGGTTCTCGTCGTCGTCTTCGTGAGCCTCTTACTTTTGCTCCATGTTGTAAGTAAGATACTCCAGCCTGTCCTCTTGCATCTGGGTCACCCCAGGTTGAGGACAGGGGATGCAGGCCCAGCTCGCTTGTCCTCCACTACTGGATGCCCTGGTGAGTTTGGATTGTGGTAAGCAGACATCTGTAGAGCAGAGGAGGTGTTCGTGGTGCCTGGGTGCACATGTGGTTGCGGCCCCCCTGGCAGGCCAGCCCCTTCTCCACCCAAGGGTGTGTCTGGAGGGGGCACCGGCTTCAAGGGGGGAACCTTGGCTGCAACCCTAAGCAACTCTCCAAGCCGTGGCCTCTCAACCTACAGGCTGGGTGCAGTGAAGCTCGGGCAGCAGTCAGCAAGAGGACACGTGGGTGGTCAGGGCCAGCCCGCCCACTCTTGGTAAGGCCTCTGATGGACCCTGCCCTGTCTGCCCATATGAGGAGAAGACCGTATCAGCTCACAAGGACCCAGCCTCTGCCCTGGGGGGGGGGG